TCAATTTCAATTACTTTACTTTTAAATTTTACACTTTTAATAAAAATATTTCCGACAAAAAAAGTTATTATTTGAAATTTTTAATTGTTAAATGTTTTTAATTTTAATTATTTTATTAAGTGTTTATACATATTTATTTTTTTTTTTAAGAAATCAGTTTTTCAAAGTTTTTGTGCAATTTTAAACTTTATAAGCACAAAATTATACTTTTTAATAAAAAAAAAACAAATTTTAATTAAAAAAAGTGAAAAATGATTAAATGCTAAAATTGTTTTGCTCAAGCTATGTATGCCTTCAGTGGCAAAACCTATATCTTTTACAGTACTTTTCGCTTGACAGGTAAATACTACTGTCTCAATCGATAATAAATTAAATGTAAATAAAAATTCAGACATTAGACAAGAAAAATATTATACTACATTGTATATTATATGTACATGTAAACTATAACACACAAATTAAGATCACTGAATATTATTATGCATATTTTATAAGAGAGTTATGTATGCGAGTGTGCGAAGAGCGGTGAAAGAAAAGTTGAAGAGAATATTAAGAAAATGTAGTTAAAAGCAAATTTAGGTTAGTTGATATTTTGAGAATAAGTATGGGTGTGTAGCAGGTTAATACTAAAATTGACGATATTTCAGTTTTGTTTTTAAATTGTACTTTAAAAATCAATATTAAATTTTTATGGCGAACTTCGCCGTATTTTTGCCACATAAATTTTCAATATTTTGTTCTTCAATTAGTTGCAATATTTTTGTATGCGTAAAATAAGTTTCTGTATTCACTCGCATGTTTTCCAAATAATGTTTGCTCGTGTGACTATTTCGAAAGCAGTTTAGAGAGAGAACAAAAAGATTACTACATAAATTATGCGAAATAAATAAAACATCGAAACAAAAATTTTACTAAATTTCACAATTTCTCTATAACTTGCCAAATTCACAATGTTGAATAAATTCAATTCAAAAACAATAAAATTCAACAAATCAATTACACACCAAATGGTATTCAACATTTGGTTAAGTATTTTCACCACACGCAATATTTTCGAAACTAAGTGAGGTTAAGTTGAAAGTAAAGGCTTGTGCACCACAACTACTCGTAGTATATTTCGTCTGGGTTAGAAGGGCAGATAAGACTTGGTATTGTGGGCTACACAATTAGTTATTAAATTTAAATTATACTATAACTCAGATTAGTAGCTTTTAAAATGAGTTAAGATTATATAAAAACAAAAAATATCAAAAATTGAGAATAAAAAAATAATTGAAACTACAAATCGTAATATTTTTGTGTATTACATATAAAGGCAATCGTAATTTTTTCAGTACATTAAAATTATTACAATAGCAAGTGAGCAGTGAGAATAGTCTTGGAAATATTTTTTTTTTATTGTAAATCATAAAAAATATTTTTTAAAGTAGAAACAAATAAAAAAAATTAAAAAGCTGAAATCCGTTTTTTATTCATTAAATATTTAACAATAAGAAAAAAATATATATTTTCGAAATTTTAAAAATTTCTTTCCAAAAACTCCTGTTATGCCTTGTTATTGTTGTTATATTGTAGGTATGAGTATGCATTTTCTAACTGCTTGTGTCTTTATGTATGTATGTGTGTTTATTACTGTATGTAGTTAAATATTTATGTAATTACTAATATACGATTATTTTCAGTTAAAAAGTTAAATAAATAAAAAAAAAATAAAAAGTATTTTTTAATGACATTTTTATTGTTTTATTATAAGAGTGGAAGAGTGGTTTTTGAACCAAAGGAAAAATTTCTATAATTAAGTTAAAGTTTTTGAGTCTGCCACTCACCTTTATGAACGATTTTATATACGGCGAAGATTTTCACCAGTGTTTTGTGGTTATATGAAACTATAATATTTTTACAACAAAAAACAACAGATAGACTTAAGCAACACAAATGGGTCTGGCAGTGAACGAGGGCAAGACGAAATATCTCCTGTCATCAAACAAACAGTCGTCGTACTCGCGACTTGGCACTCACGTCACTGTTGACAGTCATAGCTTTGAAGTTGTAGATAATTTCGTCTATCTTGAAACCAGCGTAATCACCACCAACAATGTCAGCCTAGAAATCCAACGCAGGATAACTCTTGCCAACAGGTGCTACTTCGGATTCAGTAGGCAATTGAGAAGCAAAGTCCTCTCTCGACAAACAAAAATCAAACTCTATAAGTCACTCATAATTCCCGTTCTGCTATATGGTGCAGAGGTTTGGACGATGTCAACAACGGATGAGTCGACGTTGCGAGTTTTCGAGAGAAAAGTTCTGCGAAAGATGTATGGTCCTTTGCGAGTTGGCCGCGGCGAATATCGCATTCGATGGAACGATGAGCTGTACGAGATATACGATTACATTGACATAGTTCAGCGAATTAAAAAACAGCGGCTACGCTGGCTAGGTCATTAGGGTGGCTCTTATATAGCACTTTTTACAATTTTTAAACATTTTTCGTGGGCTACCCTTCAGTTAGGTTCCATTCTATGAAAAAAAGAGCTCTATGGAATTTGGTGTCAATCGGATAAGGGTAAGGTGTGCCCCTAGGCCCTTAAAAATCCAAAATGAACCGAAAATCACATGAAAATCAAATTATTTGTTT